TGATTTGACACGTGGTCCCTGAAGGAGATTTCAGCAAATATCACTTTGAAAGCACTGAATCTGAACCCCCCTGGCTCCGCCCTTCTGACCTTTGCCCCCCCCACCTCTACCCCTCCTCCTTCTAGGCTCTTGTGGACGGCGGTCTTCAGCGTCAATGCTTCACCGTCTCCTCACGCTCCCGTCTCAGCTGTTGGAGGAAGATGATGGGGGAGAAGCAGGAACCGCAGACTCACTGGTCACCCTGGGCGGCGACGGTCCAAGGGATGCTGGTCCAGAAGGCGCCGAGGCAGGGGGTCCCAAGGATGAGGAGGATGAAGGAGGAGAGGAAGATAAAGGGAGGAAGGTGAGTAGGGAAGCTCTGACGTATGTCTGATGGAAAAACAAGTTCTTTAGATTTAATCTTTTTTTTTTGGTTCTGATTCAAACAGAAGAAGAGGCGGCGCGTTTGGTCAGAGTGTGACGAATGTGGGCGGAGCTTCAGCCGCATGTCTCTCCTGAAGGCTCACCGTCAGACCCACCTGACAGAAACCACGGCCATCGCTGACGGCGGCTCGTCTGCGTCTCCACACGCCTCCGCCCCCTCACCGTTAAGCTGCTCCAACTGTGGCAAGAGGTTCTCCTCAGTGACCCGCCTCCACAGCCACGTCCACACCCAGCACCCAGCCCAGCAGTCCTGAACCCACCTGTGGCAGGGACCGAAACATCACAACCAGACCCGAAGCAGAGCCGGTCCGACTTCAAGACCCGATCCGTGAACCTGATGCCTGACTCGGGTGACTTGACTTGATTTGGAGTACTGACCTGGCTCGCTGGACTTGGTTCCTGATTCCGATGCCTGGTGTCTGGTGAAAATGTTCTCGCTGTCCTCTCTCCCTCCCCCACGTGACCTCACTTCCTGTTACCTGCTGATGTCTTTTTGTGTGTCAAACCCTAAAATCTTCAAATGTTTGTTGTGGAACTTCATGTTTTTGCAGGCTCCGCCGAGTCGACATTTTTGTAAGGGTTATCGTGTCGCTGATGAGACAACAGGGGAACTGTCGTTACCTCTTCCTCCCTCCCTGCCTCCCTGCCCCGCTGCAGTACACTTGTTTGTCCACACCGACGCCTCCTGACTGAAACACTGATGGGTGTCAGAAGACAAAGGTCTAGTTTGTCCAAGTAAGTGCCCTATAATGGATAGACTCAGACCAGCAGAGGACTCCTCTGGCCCTCCCTCCTGATGAGCGTCAAGCTCATGTGGCTGCGGATGAGCATAAAAATAGCATAAATCGTGGAAATTTCTATTAGCTTTTTTTAACTACTAGCTTAGCTTGTGTTGATCCACAGCATCATGTGTGGGCACAAACCTTTTGTGTTAACATTTTTTTATTGAATGAACCAGCGCTGATATCAGTATTTTGAAGCGTCAGTTGTTTTTCTTTAATTTTTTTTAATTAAAATGTTCTGTAGCTTCAGCGTGAACTGCTGCAAAGATAGCCCATTTGGTGGCGCTGCCTCTTTCAAAATGCAAAAATGCAACAAAATAGTTAGGAACAACAAACCGTTGCTTATTATTTCCATTTTCTTTTTATTAGCCGTCGTTTTCTTTCTGTTCGAACCTGTAGATTTAAATGTAGCTCCATTTTTTTTTTTGTCTGACTGATGTCCATGGATGGAACTCTCATTTTGTATATAGGAATAGCTTCTTTTTAACAAACACCTCCTCCAAACCTTGCATGTCCAGCTTCTACTCTGCTTTGCTAACATCTGAAAAATAGCCGCTGCTTTTCTGCCAAATTTGAACGTGGTCGTCGTCTTTGTCATGTTTTTGGTTGCACTTTTTTTCCACATACCTCAATTTTTTTTTTTTAGAAATTGTTGGTGTTACAATTTTTTTCCATCCACACAAACCTCATTACCTCATCAGAGTCCATGTTTCATCACAGTCACTTTTATACTTTTTTTTTTTTGTTAAATTCCATTTTTCTACCCATGCCTACAGACTGTGTTTAAATGATGGACTCTGACTCCAGACTTCTGAGCAACTCGGACCAGAATGAAGGACAGTCCACACAGACAGATTACAGATGTGTGAAGTGACAGAAAATTTAAACAAACGACAAAAAATAATAGGAAAAGCGTATCTTTTGATAGCAAGGCAGGTAAAGGCTAGTCTTCACTGTGACATCACTGTGACATCACTGTGACATCACAGACAGCTGAAAACAAATTTATTTTAAATGAAAAGACATAGTGAGAATTAGGGACCTTAAAAATTTCTACTTCTGACATTTGTTGCTTTTTTGTAGCAGAATTGAGCTTAATGGAAATGACAACAGATAAAAAAAGGAACAAACCCCTAATATCCATTTTTTTTATAAGTTAATTTTCATAATTATGCTGATTTGCCTGACTTGAATGAAAGCAGTTTAGGTTAATGGCAATAATTGAAAAAACAAATAAATAAACAAAAGCTTTATTAATACCAGTAACAAACTTGAATGTCGGGTGCCCCAATATTATTATTATTATTATATAATTGATAATGTAAAAAAAACTGGTAAAAATGTATAACTCACAGTGAGGGATTCATACATCGACATAAAAATGTCTAAAGTTGATGAAGAAAATCATGAATTTCACTGACTGTCATCAACGAAAAAATGAATGGATCAGAGAGAAAAAAGTTTGGATGCAAAAAATATATTTTTTGTTTTGATTGACTTTTAAAAAATATAACAATTATGTGTGTGTGTGTGTATGTGTGTGTAATCTTAACAGAGCATCGTGCACTCAGTATCCTCCCTGTTACGGATTCAAAAAGACAGTGGTGTTATCGGTACCCAACAGTACTGTGGCGCCAAAATAAGCTGTGACTAAACTTTGTTGCTGATCTGCCGACCAGCTTTGAAACAGGAGCAAATCTGCCTTGGTTTTCCTTCTGATGATCACATAGATGCTACGTTGTTTACTTCAAAGATGGGTGCAATAAACACACTGGTCAAACATAAATAACGGTACCAACTATTGTTGTTATCCGTGAGTGCTCCAGCACCAACCTCATGTTCACCTCATGGTACCACAACCTTTTAGTACCAGGAACTGTTTTCGTCTTACAGTGGTTGCATTGTCTCATAGCAGACGGTTCACATACCTGCCCTCGGACCAGTCACTCACTGATGTCCGTCACTCTTTAACGAAAGTGGGTTTTAAAAAAAGTAGTTCTGATTGAAATGGAACACAGCAGGTTCTGTGACCGATGAGTAACGTTGGAGGTTCCTGAACTTCCTCTTACTTTCACCTCTGGAGCAGGGACTGTTTTGGCCTAAATACAATTTCGGATTCTTTTATCTACTGAAGTTCTCGCTCCTTGCTGTGAGGAAGCAGTTGTCCTGGTACTAGTTCCTGGTACATGTGCAAATGTTTCTTAACAGTTTTGTTATCCTGGAGATCTGGTCTGAAAGGGACCTTAAACCTAAAAAAAAGGGGTCTTAAACTAAAAGGGATCCACATCCACAGTGTTCCTGGAAGAACCCTGAGTTGGTCCCATGTGAATTAGTCAAGTGGGGTTCCACAGGGAACTATCCTGGATCTACTGCTCTGAGAATGAAAGGGATTTCTTAAACGGGTTTATATTTTTATGAAGTCAGTTTTTACTCTAAACTAAACTAAGTGACTCCCCTGTGTTTGGATTTGATGCAATACTTTTGATAAAAGCCAGTGTTAGGACAGCACTCTAAAAAAACCTGCTGGAGATTGAACTTCAGATTTCCTCAGTTGTTTTTACATTTGATGTTGAGTCTGAACAAAGTACTGTCAATGTTTTTTTTAACAATGGAATTATTAAATGTTACCCTCCCCCTCCCCTGTCTCTCCTTATATACGCATTTGTTTTAATTGGCGATATTTGATGTCCTATGTGACTGGGTACTTATAGGGATTTTTTTTTGTTGAAACAAAATCAATAAATGTTGACATTTACCGTCTGGAGTCTTTTTTTTCTGCAGCACTCTTCTGGAAAACCTCCACGCTGTAGGTTAATGTCGTGATTCATCATTCATTCATACAATTCATCACATGTCGAGGTGCTTTTATGGGATGCATTAGTTATAACCAAGTGCAGTGACGTCTGATCTTGTCCTATAGGGTTGAGTCGCAAAATGTCCTGAAACCCCAATCAAAAAAAAAAATCAAATGAAGAGCAGCCTACCATGAAAGAATCCTTTGATTCACCCACTTCAATAGTCAGAGATTCAAACTGTTTTACTTAAATTACACAGTTACCAAACATGTATGACAAACCCAACTCCGATACCAACCAGGTCTGTTCTGAAGGCGTAGCTAGTAATAGAAATGAACTCATCAGGTTCAGATTAAACCAGACCGTCAGCCCCAGGTAAGACACCTGTCCAGATTTAGTACATACAAGTATATTAGACATGTATTATTATTATTATATATTTATGAAGAGCAGCCTACCATGAAAGAATCCTTTGATTCACCCACTTCAATAAATGTAGATTCAAACTGTTTTACTTAAATTACACAGTTACCAAACATGTATGACAAACCCAACTCCGACACCAACCAGGTCTGTTCTGAAGGCGTAGCTAGTAATAGAAATGAACTCATCAGGTTCAGATTAAACCAGACCGTCAGCCCCAGGGAAGACACCTGTCCAGATTTAGTACATACAAGTATATTAGACATGTATTATTATTATTATATATTTATATTGAATGAAATATAATTTTACAAAACAAATCCTGAACATAAACTGTTTGTGTATTTTTTTATGTTCAAAATTCATCAAGCGGGCCAGATGGATTAGACAGTCCTTTAATGGCATTAAATTAAATTTTGTAATGTTACCTCGCTGCTTTATTTTCTTTTTATTTAATATTGTTCTGCTCCCAGTGATGATGATGATAAAATGATATTGAGGGTTTTTTTTTGTAGTATTTTGTCTGTAATGTTGCTTTACTGAATCAATCTTTTTGATTTTAGGGAATATAAATAATGGCCGCGTTCACGCTAATGTGCCCGCGACTATATTCCCACCTACCGCCCTTACCTGCTCGGGCACGAGGAAGGAGGAGGGAAGAGGAGAAGAAGAAGGAGAAGGAGAATGAGAATATAGATGAGGGAGGGAGGAGGGAAGACGGAAGGAGTGAAGGTAAGAAGGAGGGAGTTGTGATAGAGGGAGGAGAGGAGGAGAGGCGGCGGGTGGACGTGGCGGCTCCGGTGGAGAAGCTGTGATTGACGGACAGCGAAGGGAAGTGCAGCGGCCATGATCCGGACCAGCATCAGGTAAAAGCTCCGCTCTGACGGCTCTGATCCGCGGCCGCACAGCGGCGTGTTATCCGTTCCCTCTATCTGAACAGCGGCCTGTCTGACGCATGGGGAGCCGCGTCAGTGCGAGCGCCGCCGCCGCCGCTTTCCCTCCATCGTTGAGTGTTATGTGTTTTTGCATTTTTCTCGTGTTTGTGTGAGTTTGTCTTTCCCCCTCTCCTCTCCAGCCTCAGCCCCCCGCCCCCTCACCCACTCTGTCCCTCTGCAAACGTCAGTGAGTCCCGCTGCTGAGCTGCGGAGGCCTCCGGAGGATGAGGGGACGCACAAGATGGCGTCCGGCATCTTAGCAACTGTTCAAGCAGTGCTAGCGCAGTTAGCGCCGCACCGAAAACTCTGCTAACTGCATTGTATCTGTCTGTTCTGGCCATAGCACTCACAGTGTTTCGTTTAGCCCACTGAACTCTATCAACTCTTCCAGCCACAGCTTTGTTAGTCACGTTACCACTTTCGGCTAGCACTGCTATGTCTGCTAACTGTATTTGTTACATCTGCTAACACTGTCAGCTCACTACGTTGTGTTGTTTGACTAACCTTTGCCAAATCTGCTACATGTCTCATTAGACGCTCTCTGTCAGATACTGGAGGTCATAGCTGTGATATTTATGTTTGTTGTAATAGTTTTCAAACCCTGTTAGCATTCTTAGCTCGCACAAAGGTAGCTTTACCCCAGCAACATCAGTTTTATTGATTAAAATAAATAAATATTCACATATACATATTCACAGTGTCATGTGGTGAAAGCTTCACTGTACTTTATGTAGGACAGAGGTCTATTTTGTTTTTATTTTGTATCTAAAAAGAGTTTCAAGAAGTGTTTTTACTGTGAGGGTCCCTCACAGTCAGGCTCCTATTAGAACGCTGACCCGTAAATTGGTCACATGTGGAGACCTGCCCCTCCGCCCCATTGTTTTGTCTGTCAAGTGAGTCTCATGTCTGTCCCACTTGTGTCTCCACAGGCTGGTCTCTGTCAGCTGTGTGTAAGGCTGAGCTGAGGGGGGGCCACATCTCTCTCACGTTGAAGGCTCCATTCATCTCCCCAGGACTGGAAGCTCGGTTGTTTGTTTTTTTTTAAGGACAGTTTGTTGCCAGCCGTCATCGTCGTTCTCATTAGAGTCAGGTGGGGAGGATTAGCTCCGCCCCCTCACCATGACAGACCTGGAGATGGACTGTTTGAGTCTGGGCTTGTCCACCGACTGCAGCTCCCCTCGGGGCCTGGACCCCTCCCTGCAGGCGGACTGCAGCTCGGGTCCTGCCGCCTCAGCCCCCATTCCCTCCCTGGCCCTCCTCTCCTCCGACTGCACCACGCCCACGCTGAGCTCATTGGCGGCGGAGATTGCCGAGCCTCTGGTGATGCTGCCGTGCGTGAAGAGCGAACCCGAGGATGAAGACCTGGAGACCATCAGGACTGTTGACCTGTCGGAGATTCAGCCTCTGTCCACGGCCGAGCTGGGGCAGGACCAGATCAAGATGGAGATCAGTGGACTGGACTACATCAAGTCTGAACATCACGGCCACCATCAGAACCAGCAGCACCACCTGGATCAGTTTCATCACAGCGACGTTCCAGAGTTAGACTACAAGTCCCCCTACGAGCCCAGCTCTGTCTTCGACTACATCTCTCAGGTAAAAGACGAGTCTGCAGACTTGGTGGTTCCCACCGTTAGCAGAGTCCACAGCGTTCTTAGCGCTAGCTAACAAGGCTAATAGAGATATCAGAGTTAATAGAGCTAGCAGTCTAGGCACAGTTAGCTTACTTTGGAAAAATAGCAAAAAAATAATTCACACAATCTAACACTTGCCCCTTAATCCTCACAATGTTATTTTTTTATCAATATATTTTGGTAAAAAAAAGAATAAAAAATCGGACCTACCACCCACTGACAGTAATGCCACCCTGGCTGCACTCACACTGGCACAGATGCATTAGCTGTCAGTAAACCCAAGGCTGAAGAATAATAAAAGAAAAGAAAGAGTTTATAGAAAACGTTTGATGTTGTTGAATGTTTGAATGAGTGATGATGACTCGTCTTCCATGTGACAGGTAACTGATTCTCTGGACTACATCAAGTCTGACCACCAGGTGGACCTGCAGTGTTACTACACCACAGATCTCAGCTCCCTGAAGTCAGAGTACCCCGAGTCCAACGGCATGGCCGCCCACCTGCAGCACAACGGCCTAGAGTCCATACACATGGCTGAGCTCCGTACGGAGCTCAACAAGCTCCGCCCTGACACCCTGCTCCTGGACGGTATAGGCAAACTGGACCCTGAGTTCGGAGGAGGGGGACAGTACGACCCGTCTGCCGAGGACGGGAAGGCGTCGGCTGGGTCGTCTGCGGGTGCGACCGGACCAGGGTCGGGAGGAGGAGGTCGAGGCAGAAGTCTGGCCGTCAACAAGAAGAGTCTGACTGTGAGGAAACCTCGGAACATGCAGGGGGAAAAGCCCTTCTCCTGCACGCAGTGCGGGAAGAACTTTAGCACGCTGGGGAACCTGAAAACACACCAGCGCATCCATACAGGCGAGCGCCCTTACACCTGCTCACAGTGCGGCAAGAGTTTTGGTCAGGCGGGGAACCTGAAGCGACACCAGCTGATTCACACGGGCCAGAAGCCCTACGTGTGTGCACACTGCCCCAAAGGCTTCACCAAGGCCGACGACCTGCGCTCACACCAGCGCCTGCACACGGGCGAGCGGCCCTTCATCTGCCTCACCTGTGGCAAGAGCTTTGGCCAGTCCAAGGAGCTAAAGGCGCACCATCTGAGCCACACGGGCGAGCGGCCCTACTGCTGCCTGCACTGCGGCAAGAGCTTCAGCAAGGAGATGAGCTGGCGCAACCACGTGCAGATCCACACGGGTGAGAAACCCTTCACCTGTTCTCAATGCGGCAAGACTTTCAGCAACTCAGGCGTCCTGAAAACCCACGAGAAGATCCACAGCGGCGAGCGGCCCTTTGGCTGCACGCAGTGCGGCAAGAGCTTTGGCCGCCTGGGCCACCTTAAGGCGCACCAGCAGATCCACACGGGCGAGCGGCCGTACGCCTGTCCTCACTGTGGCAAGACTTTCAGTCAGTCAGGTCACCTCAAAGCACACGAGCAGATCCACAGACGAGAGCGATCGGACACAGCCAGCAGCAGCAGCAGCAGCAGCAGCACAGTGGGGAGTGACAGCAGCTAAGGCCACGCCCCCCCTTTAACCTCCCAGTTAAAAACAAAGTATTATCTTTTTTTTTTTTTTTTTTTAATTCTGTATCTATGAACTGTTTTCTACTTTTAAATACCTTTGTGCTCTTTTACATTCTACATGTGGGGTCTGTTGGGAATTTGGGCGGGGCCTGTAAAAAGACCATCATTCCGGACTGATGGAGGAGATAACTCCCCCCCTTCTTTTTTAAGAATTTAAAAAAAAAAAACCACACACACAATGCTTAGTTTCTTGGTTGCCTGCCTGCACCAATGTCCTGGTTGGAAACACTTCATCCTCTCGTTGCTCATTGTTTGTGTAGTGACACCAGAGCAGGGTTTTACCTGCAACAGCTCCAGCAGTCCTGACTTATGTGATTCCAGATCCCGATACTGTGGCCTTCATGTTCCGATGATCCCAGCAGAACTTCAGGGTCATCACTAAATGTTAAGCCCAGGTCCCGTTTTTTTACTTCACTCAGTAAATAATGAATTTGAAAAGAAAAAAAACAGTCCACAAACATTGAACCCTGAGCCTTCTGGTGACAGGGGGCGCTGCCACTACAGCACTCTAACCTCTAAAATTAGATTAAAAAATAACGAGAGTTAAAAATATTTATAAATGAACATTTAGAATAAATGTTTTAAATCAAACTTTAAGTAACAGAGTAAATTAAAAGGACTATTTAACACTTAAAAGCGGCATTTACAGGAGTTAGTTATCTCAATTGTTTAATATCACAACTTCTAATCGAGTTGGAATCATGGCCAAGTTTGTCCAGCAGAGTGTGCTGTGTCCTCACTTTCAGTGCAGTACCTTCATCCAACTTTTGAAAAGCACTTACTTTGTTTTAAAGCTAAATATATATGTTTACAGTTTAAAAAAAAAAGAACAGATTTTTGTCAATTATGATTTTTTTTTTACAAAAGTGACCTGTAGGAGAAGTTTGTAATTATTTTATAAACTGTTTATAAACTAGGTTTTCACAAACAGTAGGATAAACTGTCAACACCTTTAGGTCTGTGAACCTGGACTAGGGATCCCGTCTGTTTCTGTTATGAAACGAGGGGGTGGAGCTAAAGTGACTTGGACTAGTTTCACACTGCAGGTCTCTTAGGATGTGGGTCAACGAGTCATATGTGGACCACAAAGACCTGCAGTGCAGTGTGGTCTTAGTCTACGCACAATTGGTCCAGTTGTCGGAGGCCTCAGGAAATATGACCCGAGAACCTAGTAACCAACTACAGTACTGGTAACTACAGCTTGGATTCTGGGACCAAAACAAACAAAGTACCAAGTTGTTACTGCCAGAAACAGGAAGTTGCTGCTTTTACCCCACGTGTAGAACACATCAGTATTGTTTGATTCCAGGTTCAACCTCGAGACCTAATCTTTGTTGGAGTTTTCTCTCAGTTGCCAAATGAACTGAACAGTGTTGATGTGAACAGGGTAGTGTTTTAGTTTTTTTTTCACACAAGTTCAGTAGCGTCTACTGAAGCCCATCTTCAATCGGACAATGCCCCCCCGTCACATCCCCTTCCCATTTTCCTGTAAACCAATCATCCTATGACCCTTGACCTGACACTAGTGACCTTGGTTGGAAACTGATAAATGTTTACAGATGTTTGAAATCAAGTAATAATTTTTACCACATGCAGACATTGTCACCCCCTGGTGGCTAAACACTAGTTAACTCCTGCTGACAAATAATGTTTAAAAAATGATTGAAACATTTTTTTTTGTTTGTTTGTTTTAGTTTGACAAAATGTCAATCTCATCAGCTGGATGGACTCTGTTTTTTTTTTTTTCTAGACATCAGTTCTTCCCTGTGGTTGCCATCGGTACTACTACGTCTACTTTTAATTTTATCCACGTGACAATGTTTCCAGTCTGTTCCTGTGTGTCAGATCAGTGGCGTGTTCTTTTTAGAACACCTGGAGACCACAACAGCCAGCTCAAGTTTCTCAGCGCAGCAGCTAGCCAGTTAAAGTTAACTTCAGCTGCGTTGGCGTCTTCAGCCGTGCCGACGGCCATGACAGCGTTTTGCTAAAGCCATTCACCTGCATCACCTAAATTCAGGCCCTGCCTTCTGTGAAGGGTACAAGTGTCTGATCACTTTTTGTTTTCCTAACAATGATGTCTAAAAGCTAGCAGCAATGATTCCAGTCCCTGATTTAGCAGTTTTAGATTCAGGTTACTAAGCTGTTGTTCCATAACATTCCAGCAGGGGCTCTAACCTGTCTGACTACATTTAACTGACCAAATTTGTCAATTTTTTTTTTTTTAATTATCACTGTCACTTTATCAACATCAGCATCAGTCCATGTAACACTCCAGGCATTTAGCCCCGCCCATCAGGGTAATTGATCAACAAGGTTCAATGCTGTAAATGTTGTGTCAACAAGTAAACATAACCTGTAGAACCAAAGGACGGCTAGTACTTGGCACGCTACCTGTTGCCAGCAGGCCCCGCCCACCTTTAGATAAATTTATGTTGATGAACTGCCTTAACATTTTTGAAAACTGAGAAACTGCTTTCAACCAATCAAATCAGGTGAATGTGACGACGCGTCGTTCTTTACATCTTTAAATGTGTACGTCGGCATCAGACCCGGAAAAAAAGACACTCGGCAGATGACGGTTACAGCTCAAGAACCCCCCCCCTGTTGTCCACAGTTGTGTTTGATAATCCAAAAAGGACCAAAATATCCTTTCGAACCATTCCAACCGACCGGCCTCAGCGTCCCACAGATCACTCACTGTGTTCAGATCTATTCCTCATTTATTAAAAAAAAAAAAGAAAATAGAAAAACTGAAGGACTTTATTACAGAAAATGTTTCTCACTCTTGTTTTTATACGTTGTTTATTTTGTTGATATGTCATGTGACACATTTTCAGTAACTTTACAGGAAGTGAATATTTTACACAAAACATTATTAAAAAAAATTTAATGGAAAAATTACTCCCCTCTGAAGAGTTGTACTTTTGTTGAACCTCTGGATCTAAACAGTGATGTCATAATTGAATGTATGGTGGGAAACTCCACCCTCCCTATCTGGGTGGGTGGGGGGGGGCTGTTTTGATATTTCAAGACTTAATACAAAAATACAGGTGACCACCAGGAGGCAGTAATCTTGTGGCCTAGCATTTTTTGCTTAACTTTAATATGATTCTGAGCTACATTAGATTTATTTTATTTATTTTTTTATTTTGGCATTTTCTTTAGCTTTTTTCAGTTCAGTGAGATGTTTGTTTTTTGTTTTATTTTATTGTTTGTCATGTTTAACACCTATTATATTATATTTTTGGTAAGTAATGTAAAATATTGGCTAACCTTGAGCCAGTTTCTGCTATATTTCCAGCTAACCATTAGCAGGTTTTGCTAAATATTGGGACACATTTGTAGATACCAGTGCTATTGGCTGAAATGTATCCACCTTTGCCATTGGCCAATACTTACTGAACTTTTAATTAAACATTCAGACACGTTTTGTTGGGTTTAATTGACATTTATTTCTAGAATGATCAGGGAAAGCGAGTTGAAGAACATGACCTGTTCTTCCTCCGGATGGGCCCTGGACGAGCGGCAGACGTGATTGGCTTACACCGACTCCTCCCCTGATCACAGCAGATGATTGGCCTCAGATCCTCTCCTCAATGACTTTGGTGATGACTTTGGTCGTGACAGTGGATGAGGAGGAGGAGGAACCTCTGCAGAACCAGGAACACGAGACAGAGTTGTGTCTACACGCAGCTACAGCTAAGTATTAACTACTGGACTTCAGATGGATTATCAAAGTTTTAGTTCAAAGGTCTGCGGTCCACATGGGATCTTTCTTACCCGCTTCCCTCTCCGTCCAGCAGCCTCCTGTACTCGGCGATCTCCATCTCCAGTCGGGTCTTGATGTCCAGCAGCATCTGGTACTCCTGGGACTGTCTCTCCAGGTCTGCCCTGAGCTGAACCAGTTGCTCCTCCATCCCCGTCACCTGCAGAAGAACCAGACCTTAGTCCTCACACTCCACCTGACTCTAGACTGAAAAGAGACTCCAGCTGAACCACCATCAGGCCCAACACCAGCTGAGGAACATGGACCTGAAGTTTCAGTTCCGTCGAACCAGAGTCTGGACATTTCACCGTCACAACACGTGTCAGACTTTGGTTCCTCACCTGAATCTGGTACCCGTTCAACTGCATGGAGTAGCGGCTCTGGATTTCGGCCAGTTGAGATTCAAGAGAGGCTTTCTGTGGAATGGAGCTGGGTTTAGTCTCTCTACTATGACCAAAGTGAAGGACTTGAAGGAACGTGGAACGGTCTTACCATGCTGAGCTGGGACTGAAGCTCGATCTCCAGGGCACTGAGCTGACTCTTCACCTCCTTCACCTCCGACGTTGTCGACTTCAGTGTCATTTCTGTGGTGGCCATTTCCTGAGTGAGCGCCTCTGACTGTCAGGGTCAGGGCGTGGGGGCAGGAGGAGAGTCACCAGCAGGAAAAAGCCACACGTCACAGACTGATAGCAGGAGATTTGGGGACAGAAGTACGAGACAGACCAGTGTTCTTCTCCTCACCTTGCTCTGGTACCAGGACTCTAGCTCTTTGCGGTTCTTGGCAGCGATTGCCTCGTAGTGGTCTCTAATGTCTTCCATGACTTTGCTGAGGTCGTCCTGAGGAGCAGCGTCCACCTCGACGTTCACCTGACCACTCATCTGAGTCCTCATGGACATCAAGTCCTGAGGAGGAGATTCAGACGGGACGAGGTAAGGTCCACACATGTCCAGAAAGACTGACGTTTACATGGTGGTTAGCATGTTACCTATATGTGTTATGTGTTATCAGCATGTATATTTATATTGTTAGCTTCTTGATATTTGAATATTTTGATCATTTTTTTCTCCTTTTTTAGTTTAAATCCTGTTGCCTGAACTTGTGTAATCAAGATTCTGAACTAGTTTATTCCAGTTTATTCTAAATACTGCAGTGTTCTTAGCTGTTAATACAACAAAAGTAGTGGCTGGAGCGCCTGTACCTCCTCGTGGTTGGTCTTCATGAGGACCAGCTCCTCCTTCAGGCTCTCGATCTGCATGGTTAGATCCGTCTTGGCCACACCCAGTTCTCCCAGCAGCATCTTCAGACCGGCGGTGTCAGCCTCCACGGACTGACGCATGGACAGTTCGTTCTCAAACCTGCAGAGGGTGAAGGAGAGCAAACAAACGTGTTTCAAGAAAAAGCCCCCAAATTTGTGTGTAAGTCTGCACGGACGTCTGTTTTTCATACTTGACTCTAAAATCGTCCTGAGCCAGTTTAGCGTTGTCGATGCTGAGAATAACTGTTCCTTTAGCGATGATGGCATCCTGGATCTGACGGTCAACAACCAAGAACAGATTGTTAACAACAACAACAGTAGGACAGATCAACAACACATGGTCAAGATGAAGCAGCCGTTTTCACTAGAACACGGCTCGGTTTTTCTGCAGCCTCACTTTTCCCTGCAGTTCTGCGATGGTGCTGTAGAAGTGGCTGTAGTCCCTGGTGGACGGCCCCACTTTGTTCTCCACAAACTCTCGGATCTTCAGCTCGAGATCGGCGTTTGCCTTCTCCAGTGCCGCCACTTTGGTCAGATACGTGGCCAGACGGTCGTTCAGGTTCTGCATAGTGAACTTCTCGTTTCCAATGACGCTGTCGTCAGCTCCTCCTCCGAATCCACCTCCGCCAGCACCAAAACCTCCGCCAGCACCAAAACCTGCACCGCCACCAAAACTAGAGCCACCACCATAACCTCCACCTGCACCGCCACCAAAACTAGAGCGGCCACCAAAACTAGAGCCACCACCATAACCTGCACCACCTCCAAAGCTGCTGCCCCCAGAGGAGAAGAGCCTGCTGCCCGTAGACACCTGCACTCCTCTGCCTCCTGCTCCTCCCACCATGCTGAAGGAGCTCATACCGCCACTGCCACCACCACCACCACCACCACCGCTGGAGCGGGTGGGGGGGGGCGGGGAGGAAAG